ATAATGATAATAAACTGGAGTTTGAAATGGGTTCCAAACTTTAATAAAAACTTCTAATCGGATCTGAATTAAATTTTGACTGATTCAATTTTGGTTACGAAAATTATACAATTTGATTGGTTTATGTGATCAAGGTTATTACTGCGTAATATTCCATAATTTTTCATAATAAATTGCAGAATATTACGTAATAAATTGCGTAATATTCTGTAATAAACTATGCAATATTATGTCCAGACCGTAATTCTTGTGCAATATTATGGGCCATAATATTTTACATAAGATTACGTTTATATATTTCGTTGATATAAACAGTGTAACTGTGAATAAATTGTAACATTTCCAGATTTTTTCCTTTTTGGAAAAGTTTCTAATTTATATAATAATTATATTTCTCTTTTTCGCTTTTGTCATTGTGTATTTGGTAATACAACTTCACTATCAGAAAAAATCTCACTAAGCATCTCGTCTGCTAATAATCGTCTAAAATTAAAATGTGCATCTCACTACCCATTTTTTATAGATCAAAAAAGCATTTGCCTTAGCAACTTCTAATAAAAAAGCATATACATGCATCTCCTAGCTAGATCCATGTATAACATCATAAAAAGATGTCATATTGTTATGCACCTAATAACCCAATATATATTCCATTGGTTGTTAGTATAATAGACAAAAAAGTAAAATTACAAATATTAGATCCCCATTGTCGCATTTGCGTTACTGTAACAATTACTATGTTACAACATAAAAATATCATAATAGTAATACAACACAATAGCATTATAGTAATAATATTGTGATTAAAAAAAATTTTACACACCTGATTATTAATATCGATGGCACCTTTAGAACAAAAATATTCATAAAAGACTTTTGGTCTTGTAAATTTAACTACCGAAGAGTTAGTACATTCCTTAACTACATGTTTAACCTCATTATCTTTTGTTGTAGTCGATGCAGTTGCAACAATACATTGTGGTTTTCGATCTTTCAAGGAAGCCGCTATTAAATATATATTATCAATATTTGTGACTTTTGAAACATAAGATTCGTATATGCTTCCAAGCCTTTGAACCATATCACTGAGATAATTAAGAGGCCACCCTTGCCTTTTTTTAACATGAAAGATACTATATAATCTATTCTGCATTAATGCTATACAAAGCTTTGGGGACCCAAACCAACTATCACCAACTACAGTTCATCTACTACCATACCATGGCTGTACTAAACACAAAACGTATGCAGTTGTACTGCTGTAATCTGAAGCAAACTTTTTTTTTTCTATTTCTTTATCTTCGCAGGGCTCTAGTTGAACAATAATATTTGTAGAACTATCTGCTAGTGTCTTCCATTCTTGTTCTACTAGATATAGTTTGCGTGGTATTTTATAATGACCTGGTATTTTGTTTTTACTATCTAACCATAAATTCATTGATTCATTAATGCATAATGTTTTTCTGACTTTATAGCCTCAATTAGGTTTTTATTAAATGCATCAACAAAACTATGAACAGAATACAATAGATCATCAAGATTTGGTGTATCTAATTCACATGGCATCATTAAAGTGTAGTATAATACTATTTGTTCAAACCATGAAAGAGGCATCCAATGTTGAAAATTAAAAGACATCATAGGCTTTGTTAGCTCTTCCATTGTTCTCCAATAAAAATGACGATCAGCCACAGGAAAAGCAGACATTAATATCCATAACCCTAACCATCTCATATATTCACCAAAA